AGGAACTTAGGGAAGAGACACATTCCTACCTTTGACCCTAATCTTGAACCAAACCCTGACTCCCAGCCTTGAGACCGATGGCTCAAATGCCTCCAAAGGAGCAACATCACAAACCTTGCAAATCTTCCCTTAACGGTAATAGTGCAAACTCTCCTACCCTTGTCCAAACTGCTTATTGCTGAGATTCTCAGAGCTAAAGCCAAAAAGTGAAAAACAGGTGCAGCCTACTAAGGAGAGTTGTGAAAGAGAAAAGTTTCCTCCGCAAAAAGGGAGAGAGAAACGATGGGGAGATATTCAGTGGGAAGGTATTCTGCTATCAACTCATGGACTGCAATTCACTTCTGACACTAGCCATGGAGAGTTAGCACCAGACTCCACAGGTTTAAGAGAAAGGTCCCCAACAAGACTGTCCCCAATTTAGATACCAGCCACAAGTAGGGTCTCCAAGCCACCCACATTTCTGGCCAACTGGCTACAAGTCTGGGAGGTTCCCAAAACCCCTATCAGTTTTGATAATTTGCCAGAATGACTCACAGAACTCAGGAAAGTGCTGTGTTTAATTAGTTTATTAAGGGTGTAAATCTGAAACAGCCAAATGAAAAGACACACAGGATGAAGTCTAGGAGGGTCTCGAATGCAGAGCTTTTCTCAGTGGTTTCTCCCTGTGGAGACATAAGGTGCATCACCCTCCTGGCACATCAAAGTGTTCATCAACCAGGAAGTATTTTTTGAGACGGAGTCTCCCTCTGTTGCCCAGGCTGGAGCGCAGTGGCCGGATCTCAGCTCAATGCAAGCTTCGCCTCCCGGGTTTACACCATTCTCCTGCCTCAGCCTCCCGAGTAGCTGGGACTACAGGAGCCCGCCACCTCACCCAGCTAGTTTTTTGTATTTTTTAGTAGAGATGGGGTTTCACTGCGTTAGCCAGGATGGTCTCGATCTCCCAACCTAGTGATCCGCCCGTCTCGGCCTCCCAGAGTGCTGGGATTACAGGCTTGAGCCACCGCGCCCGGCCCAACCAGAAAGTTTTATGAGTTTTGGTGTCCGGAGTTTTTATTGAGATTTCCTTACAACAGCATAACTGAATTACTGGCCACATACCTGAATTCAATCTCCAGTGCCCACTTCCACCCCAGAGGTCAGCCTGGCCCAAAGCCCAACCCTCTAATCACATGGTTGGTCTTTATAGTGACCAACCTCTAACCTGAGTCGTCTCATCTCTTAGCATAAACCCAGGTGAGTTCCAAAGGGCTCATGAGTAACAAAGACACTATTACTTGGGAAATTCCACAGGTTTAGTCTCCCTCTCAGGAGCCAGGGACAAAGGCCAGTCAAATTCTTTATTACACACCAGAAGGGGAGGAAGTTTCTGAACGTAGAAAATGAAAGTTTTAGGGGGCCATAAACAGGAGACAGCCACAGCCCCCTGCAGATCCACACACACTCACTGACCCTCAGTCTTCCAAGGACTCCCTTGCCCTCATGATCATGATCCCTCTCCTGCTTGCTCTTCCCATCCAACCTCACACAGTCTCACAGACTCCACACAAGCAGAAAGCCTCTTGCTGCTCTCAGGGACTCTACTCAATTGTCCATCTCTGCTCATCCTCCATGGCCTCCTGTGTGGCACCACTCCTCTTCTCGGCATACTGGTTTTCTTGCCAGGAGTGAGTAAAATGGGGCAGGGGTTAAACGGTAAGGTGAGGGGCATAGCAGGGATCAACACGCAGGTCTCACGGAGTCTGTAAAGGAAGCTGAGTTCATGTTGTGAACCCAAAACTATCTGAGACAGGTCTCAATCAATTTAGAAAGTTTATTTTGCCAAGGTTGAGCACACACTCATGAGATGACACAGCCTCAGGAGGTTCTGACAACACGTGCTAAAGGTGGTGAAGGCACAGCTTGGTTTTATACACTTTGCGGAGACATGAGACATTAATCAATACCTGTAGGATGTTACACTGGTTCAGTCTGGAAAGGCGGGACAACTCGAAGTGGTGGCTTCCAGGTCATAGGTAGATAAGAGACAAAAGGCTGCATTCTTTTGGGTCTTTGATCAATCTTTCACTGACTACACAATTTACATGGAGTGGGGAGTAAAGGAATAGTCACACTGATGCCTTAGTCTGGCTCAGTGAATCTGCATTTTTGCATAAACAATAGGGCAGAAGAAGCAATTAGATATGCATTTGTCTCAGGTGAGCAGAGGGATGACTTTGCGATCTGGCCATTGTACTGCACCTGTGAAGATAAGCTATCAGTTTACATTGTCAGGGTGAAATTCAACACAACCATCTTAAGGTAAAGATCTTGAGGCCCACAAGGAATTTCCCTGTGGACCAATTGTGAGGGAGGTAAGTAGTTTTTTTTATCTTTGTAGTTATCTCTCTTAGGAATAAAATGAGAGGCAGGTTTGCCTGACACAATTCCTAGCTTGACTTTCCCCTTGGCTTAATGATTTGGGGGTCCTGAGATTCATTCTCCTTTCACAATGTCAACATCCAGGTCCAAGTATGAACCTGAGACTGTACATATGCCAAATGGATGTGCCCTTGTGATGACTGTACATCCTGTGTGACATGGGTATACCTGTGCATTGTGTGTATTCCTTTGCAGTCTATGTGTGTGCCTGTGTGGTGTGGGTATGCCTTTGTGTGCACCTGTGTGATATAGATGTGCCTGTACCCCAGCTGTTCCTGTATGTATCAGTGCCTGGATGGGTCCTGGAGCCATCTGGCTGCTCTTCTCTTTATAGGCTCTGTCTCTCTAGCCTGCTCTTCCCAGAGGAAGAAGAGAACAGTGCATGTGGGTGGAGTAGAAAGCAACACTAAAGCTCTGGACAGATATCCCAAGTTCCAGTCAGGGCTGTGGCCTTCCCATCTTAAGCCCTAAAGCTAATACTCACTCCCTAGCTCTGGGTGATACCAACAATTCTGAGGACTCTGCCTCTTACCAAATCAACACCCAATTCCTGGGGACATTTTCGGTGCCTTCTGCTACCTCCTCTTCAGGGATGGCTGCAGGGCACTTTGTCCTATGAGTTGGGGTGGAGAATGTCCAGTCTCCTCCCCTCCCAATCACTTCCTCCATCATCCAGGTCTCCATTCACCATCTTACTTCCTTCACTTCTCCTTGCCCAATCCCTCCCACAAGGAATCCCCTAAAACAGGTTCCCAGATGTGGTCCCCAGCATCTGCCCCTCACACCAGGGCCTTTCAGGAAGATGAGTTCTATGGCTCCATTCTCTCTGACTCCAAATTCACCACACTGAGAGGCAGCCTCTAGACCAGCCCTGGATGGATTGTACCATCTGGAGACTGCAGAAGACCTCTGCCAAGGCAAGCCTGGCCCTCCCCAGTCCTGTCTGCCCCCTCTGAGCCCCATCTAAGATTACAGCCCATGGCCCTTTCTCTCCTTCCTTTCCCAGAGCAAGAGCCACAGCAGTTAGGCCATGGGAGTGCCAGAGAGAGCCCTGGCCTGGGAAACAAAGGACCAGAAGAGAAGACCAGGCCTCTTGTTCCTCGGCACCAGACCTGACCCAGCCAGGCCTGGAGTGTCAACGTGAGTGTGAATGTGAGTGAAAGGGTGAACATTGTGAAAAGCACAGATTCACAACTCCCAGACTGCAGTGCTTCCAATAAAACCACCTAGCACCTATGAATCTGTCTGTCTTGCTATCTGTATGTGGCTCAGGTAGGGGAAGTCAAGTATGAGAGGGAGAAAGAGGGCGAGATGGGTGAGAGAAGACAGGTATCCATTCCTCACATTTCAACCAGAGGAAACTTTCACCCCACTTATTTCTGGTCACTCCCTCCTATACAGTCGGCCTAGCCCCAAGACTGTCTTTCCCCTTACTCAAACCAACTATGGCTCAGTATCAGGCCTTGGCTGGGATGTTAGAGGTCTGGGGCAGCTATTTCCAACCTCCCACACTGGGTTAATTGCCCTTTCTTGGCACCTTCTACTTCTTCCCGCCAGTCTGCCCCATTTATTGTAAGAATCTGACTATTCTCTTTTGATCCTCCCAGCTCTACCCCTACCTCTCAGAGGGCAGAGGTGGTGCCTGTCTTGTTTGTTGTTTGTGGGGTTTTTTTGTTTTTTTGGTTTTTTTTGAGACAGAGTCTCGCTCTGTGGCCCACGCTGGAATGCAGTGGCATGCTCTCAACTCACTGCAACCTCCACCTCCCAGGTTCAAGCAATTCTCTGCCTCAGCCTCCCAAGTAGCTGGGATTACAGATGCCTGCCACCACGCCCAGCTAATTTTTGTATTTTTAGTATAAACAGGGTTTCACCATCTTGGCAGGCAGGTCTTGAACTCCTGACCTTGTGATCCACCCACTTCGGCCTCCCAAAGTGCTGGGATTAAAGGCGTGAGCCACCGCGCCCGGTCACCTGTCTTCTTTACTACTACATTCTCATGCCCAGCACAGTGCCTGACACACAGATGGTCATTCAGCAAATATCTGTTGATTGACTGTAGGGAAAAAAACATATCACAGGAAGATAGGTCTCAGGCCAGAGAGGAAGGGCAATGACCCTCTGGACATTCAGTGGCTTAGCTGAGGCCACTCAACCAGGTATTTCCGTAGCCTGGCCTTTTCTAGACTGGACTCTCTCTGAGGACCTATTCCTCTTCAGCCCAGGGTCATACAAGACCTCTCTCGGCAGGCAAGAGAGGCACTTGGCAGGGCAGAAGTCAGGGACGGGTAGAGGAGACGTGGGGATTGGGAAAACTTTTCTTGCTGCCTGGTGCGGAAGCCTCGGCCTCCCAAGGTGTAGCTCCAAAACCTGACTCCACACCTGTAAAAGAGGGTCCTTTGCCCGCATCTTAAACAACCAACTCCGCCCCTGGCCTCACCCCCTAAGATGACGTTTCGACTTCGCCTCCTCTGGGAGACATGCAGACTCCACCCCTTCCGGGGGACAGGCAAATCTAGTGCGCGACGGCATCCCTGTGACGTAATGGTAACGGTCCGTTTCCGGGGTGGAGCCAGGGAGGGCGGGAGTTTAGGCTGCGCTGACCCCTCTCAGCCCCCCCTCCAGGTGACCCCAGCCCCTGAAAATCCTCACCCAGGGCCCCAAATCTCCCAGCCCCATGACCGCCAAACCTCTCGCCCTGGCCCCCTAAATGCCCCAGGCCCCGGAGATGACCGGCCTCCTCACCCCTTAACTTCCAGTGCCTCCCAAATCTCCAAGCCCACCCTGTCCTGTGGTGGCAACTGAGGCTTCCCGGGGGCATCGGCCTCAGATTACCTGAGAACTGGGCAGCCTCGTCCTGAGCATGACGGAGAAGGGGACCTGGGGCTAGGGAATCCCTGATTCAATCATGCCGCTCCCCAGGAGACGTTCGGAGCCCAGGACATGTCGGGAATGAGGAGATACGAAGTGGCGCTGGAGGCGGAGGAGGAGTGAGTGGAGGCGGGTTCTGCGGAGGAGGAACCAGGCGGCTCCGGGGTGGGGGAGGGTGGAGTTCTGCGGG